GTCAGGTCACAAAAGGACAGGCCTGTCACCGTACACCTCTCCCTCTATGTACGGGTCACAACAACAAAACCAGCGTGTCATCGAAAATCTCCCCCTCCGTGTCCATGCCACCGTTAACCAACACCATGGTCACTTCCTCTGTGTTGCCCTCCAGGGGAGCCGACACTTTCCCGCAGTCCCCCACCGGGCCGCTTGTCTCAGTGCTGGGTTGTTGCCCTTGAGCAGAAGGATCTGCCTCCAAGGCAAACAGGGCTTCACTCACTGGAGGCCAAAATACACACAAAGGAAACATGTTAGGTATAAACAAGTTTATCAGAAACATGTTAAGTATAGGTAAGTTTATCAGAAACATGTTAGTTAACCCTATCCATACGACGTGGCGAACTCTGTGCCACCACTTTCCAAAGAGGAAATTTACTCGTTAATCCGATCTGTACGCTTTGCATAGCAGTCTGTCAAAATGATTTTTTGAGAAATACTGAAAGTTTCAAAGAGATCTTCGTACAGTGGGTATCGCATTCAACGAGGTTGCAGGGACCGGGTTGTTGTCCTCGTTGGTTCCGACCTCTCGTTGAACGTGACTAAGGCGAAAGAAAAGAAAGGAGACAAGTTATTATATTATACAGTTGTTCCCCCTGATGACGAAAATCTCAAACAGCATCAGTGTGCGTGTGATTGAGCTGTGTTCTGACCGTCATTTCTGCATTAAACATTTTTTAAAAATCTGGAACACTTTCTCTTGTGGAAGCATACCCTAGAATCTACATAAAGTAGAGGCGGGAGCTTGGATTTTCTGACCAGGGGAAGAAAATCAAATTTTTTTAAAATGAAGGTCTCGATCTAGACCTACCCTTCCAGAGTTTCACACAGCCCGCATCGCGTTCCCACCCACCCCCTCCCATCCCTACCGTAGGCTAACCCTCGCCCATCCTCTTGGCTTTGGGGCCCATATTAAGAGGCAAACTAGATCTAGCAATACAAATACAATGTGTGTTAGGAATCGAGGATAAGCCTTGTGCTTCGCGTGAGAAGGAGAGAACGGTGAAAAATTCTTCGCTTTTGCGGCCGCTAATTGCTTTTATTAATTTGGTTATTGCGACCTCGTTGAAAGCGACTTCGATCTGTTTGCAACCTTGTTGGAGCTGACGTACATTTACAAAGAGATATAGAAGGAAAAATCGGGAATTAAGGATTGTCTCGTAGGAGCCGATTTCTCGTTGAATGTGACACCCACTGTACTAGAAGTATTCTAAAATGTAAAGAATACACAGGGGTACAAAATGACCCCAGGGCGTATGGATAGGGTTAAACAAGGGTGAGCGGGGGAGGATGAAAAACGTTTGAGTATACATGTGTGTGTCTGTGTGTGTGTGTGCATGTGTGTGTGTGTGTGCGTGTGTGTGTGTGTGTGTGTGTAAAAAGAAGCTCATTCACACAATAACACCCACCCAATGTTACCCCAGACTTAACAAACATCAAACATACCCTTTTTTTTTCCTAAGAAATATTTTCAGTAAGAAGGCCAAGACAAAAGCTACATGAGGGCCAATCCCTGACACATTAGACTACCCACCATTTCTACAGGAGTTGGGGAGAGAAAAAACAAACAAAAACTATCCAAAAATGATGAGCAGGTAAAATGTTTGATTTTATCCAAAAAAAATTAAAGAGAAACACAAAAATGATAAACCAAAACAAATTGAAAAAAGAACTGCACAGACACACTGACCACAAGAACTGTCAGAGACAGAGTCACGTGAGCTGGCACTCCCAGGCTTGAGCTCTCTCTCCAGGACCTCCCGCGCCTTCAGGCTGGTCTCAGAGGGGTCGTCCTCCTGGCCATGAGCGTGGGCTGGAACCGCCGAGGCTCTCGGGACTTGCAGTTTGACCACACACAGGGCAAAGTCCAGTCTGTTGGCCGGGGCTGGTCCCTCAAAGTCCAGCTTGGTCCAGGTGTTGGTCTCTGTTGGTCACACGGAACAGACAGGGTGAGGGAACGGTACATGTACGTTGGTCTCTGTCACAATCACACAGTTACTGTCATAGTCATAGTCATGCGATCTCTGTCACTGTCATGGGATATCTCTGTCACTGTCATGAGATCTCGGTCATAGCCATGTGGTCTCTGTCACAGTCACACAGCAGAGACTGGGCAGGGTGAGGAAGGTACACATGACAAGGCAGGGTAAGGTTATGGGATAGATGACACTTATTTTTATGTAACTTTGAGCATAGAGAAGCACATCGAAACAGTATCACCCACACATAAACAGGGCAAACTTAGTTTAATGGTTAAGTGATAGCTTAAACTGTTTCAGTAAGCAGAAGCATATTTAGTCAATAACCAACCTTATAACATACATAACTAGCTTCCTAACTAACCTGTATTAAGTTTGTAAGCATCGTCCAGTGCACCTGCCCCACTCATGCCCCCAAACATGTAGATAGCATCACTGTGGACCACAGCGTAATGGGCTGCGCGGGGTGGCGGGTTGCTGCGTTTCTTACGCACATTGCTCCAGGCACTGCGCTCTAGGTCAAGAACATGCAGGTCGTCGTAGAAGGTTGCCCCCGCCATCCCCCCATGCAGATAGATGCGGTTGTTGTGAGGGATCATCATGTGACCATGGCGTGGCTTGGGCGCGTCGCCTCGAGTGGTCAATGTCGTCCAGCTCATGGTATGCGTGTCCAGACAGTGCACCCGGCGGTCGCTCACTGGGTCGGGCCCGCTCTGTCCCCCGCTGTAGACGTAGACCTTGCTTCCCACCACCGTGGCGCAGCGATGTGTGCGCGGGGAGGGTGGCTCTCCGCTCGTCTCCACATCGGCCCAGGCCCCGCTGGACACATCCAGACTCTGGAGGTCGTTCAGGTTGCCCTCCTGTGTGGCTCCCCCAAACACAAAAATCTTGCCGGGATGATTCTCCACCCGGAAGGCAGAGTGCTCGTAGCGACCGCGGAAACCCGGCGCCTCCAGAGTATCCCAGGCACGAGTGTGCAGATCCAGCACATACACCTCGCTGAACACTTGAGAGGGGTTCGCTCCCCCGATGACGAAGACGCGGTCGTGTTCTCCCTCCTGCAGGGCGGGGACATACGTGGCCGAGTGGCCCACGCGCATGGTGGGGTTCTGGCCGGCCGCCGACACCACATACCACCAGTTGGCCGCAGGTCGTATGTCAGGCTCCAAGAAAGGGTGTAGTTCCATGGCCATCGCTTAAATCGCTTACCACGCTTCAAATTCTTGGTCCCATTCAAAAGTTTAATCTTTCTTTGATGCACAAATACGTCACTAATGTTACAAACATTCACCGACAAAAAATCTACTAATAACCACCAAAAAAAGACTTGCCAGGCTGCTACTGTTGCAAAGTCCCAAACTGTGAGCTACAACATCCTTCTTTGGACAAATAAAGTGTCTGTCTGAAATCTACAAAATTCCTCTGTTGATCTCCAGAACCCCTCTCTCTACATACAAATCTTTCCTTTCTCTTCTTTTATTTCTCTTGTCTGGCTGCTACTTCTAGTGATATCCTTTCTGTCCACAACAAAAAGATCGCCTCTGACTTTCTTTCCTTGGTTACATCCAACTTTTATTTCTTGATCTGGAAAAACAAAGGAAAACCAAGAGGGTCACATAAAAATATGGGATTTGTTTATCTTGAATTATTGACCTCTAGACATGCAATTTATAGTACACTCAAAAATAAAATCAAAGTTTTTCCTTACAGGCACACCAGCTATGTTCACATTTATTGTAGTATACAGAATTTGATTTATTTTTTTGAAAAATTAAACCAAAAGTACTACTGAGGATTGACAAATACACTCAAACTTCTCCAAGATGACCATCTATTGTCTGGGAGAAAATCCTAATCAGGTGTTCCTCTTGGACAGTGTCATTTCACTATAACATGTTAAAAATGCAAGGAGTGGCCATTTGTACATTTGATTTTCTTGAACAGGTTTGACTGTATGTTAAGTTCTGCTAATTCTGTATTGCTTCAAACATTGTTACACTCAATATTCCACTGTCTCAATGAACAATCTAGATCATTTAGAGATTGAGGACAACAGGGAAGTGCTTCAACCAACTTTGAAGACCGTGGAAAAGATTCGTATTCAAATGTGTATAATAATACAGTAATACAGGTCACATAGCTCACATGCCAGACCATCAGCTGCCAGAGAAACTACTGCTTGGTCAACTACTACAAGGTAAAAGCTCTCATGGAAGCCAAAATAAGCATTACAAATTCAGTCTCAAAGCTTCCCTTAAGGCCAACGTCATCTCTAACACACAAGGGAGCAGACTGTCCTAGACAGAGACAGATAGCGTTCAGTTGTATGCAAGGGCCCAGAGATTTCTGAAAGCAACCTCATATCCGTTCAACATAGAATCAGCCCGATCAGTCATCTGCGCACTCACCCCAAACCACTGGATGACTAAATGGTCTTCGAGACCTTGATGGACGAACATAATAATATATTATAATAATGATGATAATAATAATAATAATA